TAACATATATATATATATATATATATGTGTGTATGTATGTGTATATATATATATATATATATATATATATATAGCTCTCTCTCTCTATCTATCTATCTATACACCCGCAAAAGAAAGAGACCCTTGTAAAGGAGCTTTCAAACGAACCTGCCTGGGTCAGGTCCTTGAGGCCCGGGGGAGGTCCCAGAACTGTGGCCTTGACGCCCACCACGGCATTCCAGCCCACGGCGAAGCACTGCCCGTCGGTATCCAGGAGGTCGGTGTCCAAGGTGAAGCCTTCCAGGGAGATTCGGGGCCTAGCCTAGCACTAGAATATGTCTGGAGCGCAGGTGAAGCCTTTCAGGGCTCAGGATATAGTTCCGGGGTAGACCGAAATATGTCAAGAAATGGAGGTCTAGGTCCCGAAACCTCCTGGAGGGCTCAGTTAGGGCGCTTTGGGTTTGGGTCGTGGGCTCCGCGATGCTCCGCGCCTTGTCCGCTGGTGGCGTTGCCAGAACTGGTCGTTTCCTTCCCCGGCCTCTGCTGGGTGAACCGCCTCTTCGCCAGGCTCTGCTTCTGGGCCTCCTCGGTGCAGACCTCAGAGGAGACTGGCCAGGAGACGGCCGTGATGCCCTCCGGGGCCTCACTGGCGGAAGCTTTCTCGAACTTCATGGTGCCAAAGAGGGAGGCTTGAGCCATGACGAAGGGATGCACCGTCGCAAAGGTTCCGGGAACCACGAGGATCGTAACGACAGGACCCACAGTTACCGAAATTGAAGCCGACATCGAACCTGGATTTCTAGCGAAAAAGAACTTATTCAGAGATACAACAGCAAGGATAAAAGAGCGAGGGCTTTCCTCAGCCTTGTAACTGAAACGGAATTCTGCAAAAGAGAGCCCAAGGACCTACTGCATTCAGGCTCCAGTGGTCACTGACACGGTCTGCTGTAATGGCCGCGTTCGCACTCTGATCGAGGTTTGTGGGGGAAAGCTCCAGAGTTGCCTGGCCACCGACTCTGTAGACTGTGTGGTACTCCGCGCTGGCGGTGGCCTGCAACTCTCCTTCGACCGCCAAGTTAACAGAGCCTTGAATCAGGACAGTGACACAGACTGCATAGAGGCAGTATGTGGCCACCGGCTTCGGGGCGCTTGGGAAGAAGAGCTCCCTCTCGTAGGTGCACGAGCCACCGGCAAGGGCACCCACCCCAGCCGTGCCAGTCACGTCCCCCTCCAAGCTGATCGTTGCAGTACTCGCCGTGGTATCAATGTCGATGGAGACCTTCGGCTTGAAGTCGATGCTTGCGACAACGCTGAGGACGGCTCCGGCGTTGCAGTACTGGGTCTCTCTGCAGCCCAGCTGGCTGGTGGAAGGCTCCTCCGCTGAGCCGATGCCCAACAGCTGCCGGCCTGGCTCCCCAAAGGAGCCAGGCCCGGGTGGTCGGTACAGGACGGGCGCTGCAACAGCTGCCCTCGCGTCTGCATAGCCAAAGCGCCGGGCCCAGGATCCCGTCTCGTCCCTGGCCGCCAGGCGACGCGCCCTTTCGGGGTCCAGCTGCGTGCAGGTGAGGGACGCCGTCATCTTCTCGGGGGAGGCACTGAATCTGCAGCCGTACTCGTCCTGGCACAAAGCACAGCAAGACCCCCTGCACTGGAGTACGTGGGGGCTGCTCAGTACAAGATCTTTGCTACCATGCACATTGTTCCACATCTCATGGCAAAGTCATGTAAATGCGAACCGGACAGTGCAGGATGCTAACAGGCTCCAGGAGGGAGCCCACCTTGAACTTGCAGAAAAGCACCAGCAGGAATCTGTGAGTGCCATCTTCATCGCAGGCACAGCTGTTTAACTCAGAACACCCACACAGGCAACAAGTCATCAACACCTGCTCTAGCTGTAGGAAACTCCGGCATTTATGACTATTTATGACCTTCGAAAAACCCCGACCCGGGGTTTCTGCTGGCTCTGAGGTCTCGAAGGCTGGGCTGGCGCTGATACGGGCCCTGATTCCATCACAGGGCATGCATGGCGGGATAGACGGACAGAGAGAGAGAGAGAGAGAGAGAGACAGACAGACACAGAGACAACAGACAGAAGAAGATAGAAGACATATGACGGAAGACAGAAGAGAGAACAGAGAGAGAGAGAGAGAGACACACGCACACTTGAAATAATGATTGAACATGTCAGTTTGCAGCATCTGCGGCGCACAACAATACACCACACAGAATTGCACATGCGAGCTGCTGCTACCACGTGGTGATGGAAACCAGGGTATCTTCTGACAGCTTTCGAGCCTCCAGCCACGGTTCAACCACCTCCTCGATCATGCACTGGCCGAAATCTCTAGCGAACTTCACGAAACTGTCCACCACTTCGGTCAGAGCGCTCATGTCCACCAAGCTTGGGCAAGCACTTGGGGTCTTTTTGACGCAGGTGCCCTGGCAGTTGACGGAAATGCGACCTTCAAGAAGGCCACCACAGCAAAGATCTTCTGCGCAGTCTGCTGTTGCTGAACATTTTGCACCTTCACCCGCCCGATTGCCACAAACCCCACAGATGCCAGCCCTGGCAGAACACTCCGAATAGTCATAGAATGCACCATTGATTGGCCACGTCAGTCGTGGCAACATCGACCCATCAGGCAAGGGCTCGGCGCACTGACCGTTACAGCCCACAGAAGTGCCAAGAACACCTGCGGGCAAGCGGCATACGTTGCTTTCGCAGTCACTTTCCTGGGAACAAGCAGTTCCCGTCGGAACCTTGCGACCACAGACCCCACACCTGCCTTCATTGGCTTTGCACTGATTGTAATCGCAACCCCCAGAAGTGACTTTCGTGGGGTCGTTACACTCCAGCCGGTACCCATCATCCTTCTTGGGCCTGCAGCTGCCTTGACAGCCGACTGATGGGAAACCCTCACACCAGCCACTGCTGCAGTCAGCATTCTCCGAGCAAGTCGAACCATCGGGCACAGTGCGCCCGCACACTCCGCACTTGCCCGCACGGGCTTCGCATTGATTGTAATCGCAGCCGTGGTAATAGATAGGCTGTCGCAAACAATCCTGGTCCCATCAGCCTTGCGCCCTTTGCACACCCCGTTGCAGCTGCCAAAGCCTTCGCACCAGTCCGACACGCAGTCGCTGTTCGCAGTGCAGGCGCTGCCATCGGGAACCCGATCGCCACATATACCGCACTTGCCACGCCCGGCAAGGCAGATGTTGTAGTCGTAGCTCGGCCAACTCCCTACAGCTCTTTCGCCATCTGCCCTCCGTGGCTTACACCGGCCAGACGAGAAGAAAGTGCCACCGTCGCACCAGTTGCTCGCACAGTCTGAGTTTTTGTTGCATGCCTCGGCCACTGCGGCAAGCGCAGCAAGGAACCAAAGACTTGCCATGGCATCCGCACTTACCAGGTGGGAATGCTCCTGCTGCTAATGTTCCTGCTGCTGGACAAGGTCAGCTGTGCAAACTGGGATCGATTTGGCTGCGAGCTTGCCCCATTCCACTCTTACTCTTGCTACGCTGGCAGCCCTGAACTTGAGATTTGAGTTGTGGATAAAGTTGCAGAGCGGTCATGACCGGAGCGTGTTCCATCGTAGCAGCGTAGCATAGCCACCTACAGCAGCTGAACGCAATCCACAATGCAAGCAGCGCTTGCTCCTCAGGCTTATATGGGCGTGCAGCTCATGCCTTCACACGCTTCCCACATCGAGACGACGCAGAGGACCTTACTGCCCACTGGCATGCAAGTGAAGCAGCGAAGCTCCAAAGTAGTTGGGAACATGATTTATCACCACTTGTGGCGGAAGGAGCATTGCAAATCCATGCTAATCAAGCTTGCCACCAAGGATTGATCACCACCGACTCAATGTGTCAAGGATCCATGCTGAGAACCCTGGGCACGGATGTTTTGGTTGGGACGTGGACGTTATCATGGTTGGGACATGGATGCTGTGCGAAAACGGATGGGGTCTGGGTGGACATTATCATGATTGGGACGTGGATGCTCTGGCAAAACGGATGAGGTCGGAGTGGACGTTATCATAACTGGAACATGGCTGCTCTGCGAATATGGTTGGGACATGGATGCTCTGCGGAAACGGATGGGGCCGGAGCGGACGTCATTACGGCTGGGGCATGGATGCTCTGGCAAAAACGATGAGATCGGAGAGGACATTATTACGGTCGGGGCATGGATGCTCAGCGGGAACAGATGGATGCTCTGCGAGAAAAGATGAGGTTGAAGTGTACGTTGTTAGGTTTCCCATGAAAATCTGAAGAGCCCGAAGCAGCGAAACCTCGCAAAAAAAAACGAGTCTCTGAAACACCGGAACTCCCAAAGAAGGCGAGCCGCTGAAACACCGAAAACGCAAAATTTCCAAACTCCCGGAAAAGCAAAGAAAATCTGAAGAGCTCGAAACAGCGAAACCCGCGTCAAAACCGAGTCGAACAGCCGAAAAGTGAAGACAAACACAGGGGCGGGTACCGGTCACCCTTCAACTACCAGCAACAGCACTAGTAATGATAATAATTAGTGTTGTTATAGTAATGCTAATTCTCCTAGTAGTAACAATACTAACAATAAACATAATAAACCGATAGCACGAGCACTAGCCAAAGCAGCTCAACCGCCATCAACAGCCATCGTTCAGAAGAACATTGCCTACATGCCGTGAGAGAAATGAATGACCGCACTCGGGACCAGGAGTACGAGCCGCTGGCTCTCTGGCAAGCGCATTTCCACATGAAGGGACCTCCTGAAGCATGTTGGATCAGGCCCAATTGATTTTCGAGCCATGCACGGACTTGCCGTCTCCTCCGCGATCTCCACGGAAGCATCAGATGTCGACCTGGAGCAAGCCGGAACTCGGGTCCGCTGACTGTTGAGGCTTCGAATGTGACATCTCGGCAGGCTGTGCTACCGGCTCCTTCCTGACTGCTGGCCCGAAAACAACAGTCCTCAAACACCAAACCACGACTCCCTGAGCACTGGCTGGTTCCAAGATCCAAGCCATGAGTATGGTGAGAATGCTCAGACGGCAGCAGGTGCTGTTCCATGACCTCAGTAACGGCTTTTGAGCTTTGGGCGCTTGGCTCTCCACTCTTCTCCTACAGTCCCAGAGCAACCCAAAACCCTAAACCCTCAAGAAAATGACAAAATTGAAGCTGTGTGTTGAGCGGTGCAGGTTTTTCTACGACAAACCCTAAACCCTAATGGTTCTGTCGATGTTGGGCCCGTGGGGTTCCGAGCCTCGAGATCCGAAGTTTGCCACCGCTCTGCCTTGCATTGCTGGGGGCCGCACTCCATGCATCCCCAAAGGCACATCCGAAACATCCGTTGCCAAAAGGTGGCCAAGTTTACCAAGTGCTCGACACGGCTCGGGAGAGGCCTGCTATGGTGGCGCGGCAAAGCAAGCACTGTGATGAATGATTCAATTGGGCTTCGGTCTGGGCAACCCCAGGTATCTTACACATGAATCTTCGGTTTGCACCTGCTGGTCCATGATAAACACTGAACACAAATGCGGGCTTGCAGTCATGAGACACCGGCATGAACACAGCCAACCAAGTTGCGCGGACATTGAAAATGCTACCCTCCAAAGCTTGCACATGTCAATCTGAAAACAGATGTGGCTGCGAAGTGTAGAATACATTGCAGCGCAGGCCACCATGAACCTTTTTGGGCGCAGCAAGCTCCAATGTCCCAAAAGCTCACAATCCGCGAGGAGTCGCTGGAACTATGCAGCGCAGCAATTGCCAGGAGGACTGTCTTGCCAAGTCGTTCGCCAGGTCCTTCGCGTTGACCTACGATCTGACCCGCAGCGAACCACGTCGCAAGCCAGCCTGCAAACCAGTCAGCGACCCGGTGCCTAAACCAGTCCCCAGAAGCAGAGAGCCCTTGTGAGGGCTGCAGGCAAGTGCTGCATCGCAGTTCTGGCTTCTCACTTGCGGCATTCTACTGGTGTGGTGCGATCGGCTCCCCAACACATGGTTTCGAAATCATGCGAGGTCAACAGCAGCTTCCAGGGGGTGCGCGCTCGGAAATGGACCTGAAGAACCTTGCGGACCGTGTGACACGTAATGCCGACGACAGGCCACCAAACCTGCCGCATCATGTCAAGGCAGTCAGCCATCGCGATGCGATCTTCCCTCGTCGGACCCTGAGCGGCGCAAGTCCCGGCCTTAGCGGCCGCAGAACGGAGCGCAACGCGCAACTGTTGGCAACGTCGCGCAGGGTCTTCGATGACTCTTTCGGACGCCTTTTAACGACAGCAACACCACAGGCATCTGCAAGATGAGTTTCCATGAGTTGCGGAGGAGTTACTCACTCGCATCTGGTCAGTTGCGGCCGCTTGAAGCAATGTAATCATCTCGTGGTCATCCATCAGTCTAC